ATATATTTTAATATACAAGTCGCACCTTAGTATAAGGCGCAAACCAGCCAAAGGAGAAAAAGAAAGTGCAACCTATAGTCCAGAAACTATGGCTTTTTTTTTTACACCTCCGTAAACAAGCGGAAGTATTTATTTTGCCTGGCAGACTGGTGTGTTTATTGTGCAACAAATGCATATGTGTGACGAAAGATCGTAAAAAGACACTTCACATCAAATCGGGGGGTCATTTTCTGCTACTTTTCCCAGAGGGCTTGTTGGAATGGACTAGGTAAGTACAGCATCTGCCAGCGTCTTTTCAACAGAGTCAGATCACACTTGGTCACGTTTGCACAGAACAAGAATGGGCTTTGATAGCATCCCTTCGTGTAGCCTGGATGCTAACAGGCAGAAGAGGCCTTTCACAGAGACAAAGACTGTTAAAGGCTAAATGCTTGCTGTCAATGGTGAGATTGTTGTTGATGATCATCCATTTAAAGAAAAAAAATGTACCTCTATCAACTTTTCACAGAGTTGTATTACTCGCAAAAGACTTGACTTGGCTAAGCCACGCAACCATGTCAGGTTTCACAACTGAATGCACTTTAGAGAAGAACCTCTCGCCGCAGGTAAAAGATTATCACATTTTTTAACAAGCGTAAACTGTAGTTATAGTTTAGAGTTTCAAGTTAAAGTTTGCGTTTTGGCGGCGCTACAGCCATGATTGGTAGATTAGCAAGACCCATCAGTGTTATTTTTGCATTTTTTCGAGCACATTTGCACACTGAAAAAAAACCTGCACTTCCAGTTTCATTTGTGTGAAAGCACTAAATGAGGTCAGAATGAAGACATCTCATCAGCAAATCTTTTTCCGATACAAGCTTCAGTGCTGCAGACTGCTTAGTGTGGCCATCACTAACATATGCAATAGTTCAAAATCACTGACAGTACAAAGGGTCTCATATGAGAGGGCAAGCAATGTTCAAAAGGCAAGGTGAACTTAGAGTCAAAAAGAAAGAAAAAGGCAAACACAATTACTCAGAAGAGCAGGCAGAGTCAAACATCAGGAATACATTCAAAAACTGTTCAAGAGTGTCCCTGAGAAAACGCAAGGGAGAATCTGGCAGGGAGTGTTGTGGAGAGCAGGCTTTTATGCTGGCTGTGATGAGTGGGGGGAAAAAAAAAAAAAGCCATTAAGGTGGGCGTGGCGGCTAGTCAGTGGAATGGTAAGTGGAAAACTACTGGCAGAATGCAGCTAGGATGTAGATTAGAATGCGTTTGGGTGTGACACCCCAGTTTTGCTGTAAGTGCCAGGATCCCCAAGACCCCGGTTCGTGGATCGGTACTGGTCCATGGGTCATTTGGTACTGGGTCGCAGTGAAAGAATTATTATTTTACTTCATTCGAAGAGAATTCGGTCGCTTTCATTTGCGTTCGTATTTCAAAATATAATGTCTTTCCGACTCGGGTCGTGGTAGTGGCCAGGTTGGGGACTGTCGCTGTAGTGCTCAAATCCTCTTCTGCAGAAACAGATGAGGAATATTTACCTGAATATAAGCCTGCATCACAGTCTATTTATTTGCTTGTTAATATACAATTTTGATAACTTCATTATCTTGACAATATCTGCAGGCCCACCTGAGCTTCCCATTCCAAAAGCAAGACGTTTCCACAGCACGAGTTGACAGAATAACACGGACATTTCAGGCTTAGAGAATGTTGCTGCTCTCACACAGAGTCAGCTGTCTACCATAAGGGGAGCCCTGATGCGTTTCAGCTTGGACTCATTGACGTCTTTCTCTGCCGTGACGGGTGGGATTCGAGAAGCCTGACAGGTCACATCTCACATATGTAGGTCAGACTGAGGGGAGGTGGGGGGGGGGCTACAATACTCTTAACCTTCAATGAAAAATGCACACACACTTCAAAGTTTTACCAACGAACTATATTGTATATCTCTTCAATTTACCAGTGTAATCTATGGCTGTAAATAAATCAAGTTTCTAGAACCCCCCTCTAAAAAAATGTAATAAACCGTAGAAGGATTGAAGGATTTATTTGGAGTTTTACTGTGGTTGCATTAACAGTATAGCCTTGGCAGTTAACACTGTATACTGCAACTAAAAATGATTGAACATCCCTCTTGGTAAAAGCTGTACTGTAGGTCGATCCTTCGATCTGTGTACAAACAGATGCCAACAGTTTTCTTCTGAGGTTCAGATAACAGTGGCTTCCTTTGCTTCTTTCCTTATGTAGGACAGTGTCCTCTGAGTCCCAAACAGCGGGGCGGGCCCCCCTGGGGGGATGCGGTGAGGTGCCGAGGGCTTCCGATCGACATAAGTGTACCACAGCTGTAATGCTTGAATGATAACAAGCCTCCAGGCACTAGGAGGCAGCATCTCATACAGTGATAGATAAAAATATACATGTTGTAGTGGTGTTATATCGAGGAAGGGGTTAATTAAAAAAATAACCCAAAAATAATCGAGAACCACTGCACTACACTAATATAACCCATTGAATTAAGAAAAAAAAAACCCTCAGAAAACTAATATTTATTCGATTGACCATGGGTTTGGAAAATGGCTGGCACTCTCCCCAAACATCAGTCTCAGAAAAAAATATTGTCTGGGTCTCAAGTCAGTTTAGTACCTGGCACTCTCCCCAAACATCAGTCTCAAGTCAGTTTAGTAGATATACATAAATATACAGTCACATCAGATCCCACATGTACGAGCAAAAACCCTCGGAGTGCGTTCTGCAGTCATTGGCTGTGAGAAAGCGTTCATCTCGCCTCACCACGTGAGACCAGTGACTACTGTAAAACCCAAGAGACTCCCCGTGTGAACCGCTTAAATCATTTATAATTAACTCAGTTGCAGCCCCGTGACATCATCCGTCTGTGATGTTTCCCCGTGTCAACTGACTTTTTGCGGCCAGTGCTTGAATGATGTCATTAATAGCATTATTTAGCTCGTAAACTGCACGCCGTTAAAATTGATGTCGAGTTTTTTAGCGCCACGTTTAACCGTTACGAGAATTGCTTTCTGCTAAACTTCTGCTGGTTTTGGAACCGCGTCTGTCGACAGCAAAAAACGTCACAGAGACTGATCTGCCCCGCGCTGCAGTTCACTGGGTTGTTGACGTTGTCCTGTTACCTTGACGACAACTCCTGACACATGATATGACAAGTTACTGTGTTTATGCTAACTTTAGTGAGGGGCTCTTTCATTTGCTGAAAGTGATGGCAGGAAATTAAATAATGCAGCCAAAGGAACATGGGAAATTATTTAAATCCCTTGGGGGGGAATACCAAATTAGAGTAAATCTCTGAGAGTAGGTAATTGTGAAAAAGACTCTTTATGAACAGACAGACATTTGAGATAAATGAGTTTAAAGTCATCTTCAGTAAAACACACTGTCCAACTTTGACTAATAGTCCCATTTAGTGGAAAATGGATGATGTTGTGAGTCTAATGAAAGCGTAATACGCCCTGATTTGGCCCCAAATACTTTTGTATTTAGAAGTCCAGGTGCGTTTTATTCATTAAAAACTAAATAATGTATTATGATTTTTAAATATTATTAGTTTTTAACCAGTTCTAAAAGAGAATTCTAATATCTGAACCTGAACTTTTCTCCATAAACATACTCACAAGGATCTGATTTACATGAAGGTGAAACAGGACTTTGAATGAAGCAGTTTGAATGTGTCATGAGTCATATTGTGTGTTTTTTTTTTGTGTTTTTGAATATTTTCAGACCACAATGAGGTGAAGAGGAACAAGAGTCAACTGAAGGCCCGGGAGAACGTACGGGTTTTAATCTGCATCGAATCCCTCTGTCATAGATACACGTAGGTGTTCAGTTCAATTTTTTTATTTATTTATTTACAATGAAACAGAAAAGGAAATCCTACATGAACTTCAGATTTCACAGCAAACAACCAGACCCATGTGATTTTCATTTCTCAGGTCTCTATTGTATGATAGTCCCTAAATACAGAAATGAGCTCCAGTAGTTAAAGTACAGAGAAGACGGATTACCAGGGGTTGGAAGGCTCTGTTGATGACCAAGACTGAAGTTTTTGTTAAAAGTTCTGCCAATTAACTTCTTTCTGGTCAAATACTCAAGGAATATGAGGTAATTTTTGCCAAAAGCCCAAGTTGATACCCAGTAAATGACTCTGGCTATAAGTCAGTACCTCACACCAGTGCTTTAAAAAAACCCTCAACTAACCCTTTAACTGTCAGCAGAATTTACGAGCTGTTAAAGGACTCGTCTGTCACTGTTTTGTGTGGAACCTGCATGGAATTTCCTGTATAAAACCAGAGCAGGTCTTTAAAAGGAAATGTTCCCTCATTTAGGCTCCTCATCCCTGTCGCCTAGCTAATCTTTATAGAACCACCTTTGACATGTTCTTCAGCTTACAAGATCTAGAAGCTCAAAAGTGAAAAAAGGTCCTTTTTCAGTCTGCGTGT